TACCCACTTGTCCACGCCCCCCATCATGTGCGCACAGGAGGTCAGGTTTCCAGCATACAACGTGAGTGAGGTGAGGTCTCCATCTCAACCTACACATACTTGCTGTGTTACTTGGGCAAATCCTTCTACCTCCACAGACCATGAAATGGGGGTGAAACCTTAGCTCTGATTTGGGATTGTTGTAGGGATTAAACGAGATAGAGCGTGTGAAATCCTTAGAAGATCGCCTGGCACAAAGCCAGCCTGCAATGCTTGTTAGCTGTTCTCTTTTGTACAATCAATAAAGGAATAAGGAATGTAGAAGTCCACTCCACGTGCAGCTGTTGCGAACTAGGTGAACAAGGGTGTGTGTGGAGGGTGGAGGGTGCCTGTCCTCACTCTGGTGAAAGTGAATTCTTGGAAGAGGTGGCTCCTGAGTTAGGAGCTAAAGGACGAGCGGAGGCTGAACCGTCAGGGTGCGTCTGGAGAAGGGCAAGTTGCTTACACTGTCAGAGGCCCAGGAGCACGAGAGAGTGGTGGTGGTGATGGGGGCAGGGGGGACCAGTTCCTACAGGGCATTGCTTTTCATTCTCAGGAACCTGTACTTGGTCTTTACCCTACAGGTTGTGGGGAGTGCGGAGCCGCAAGAGAGTGACATATATAGAGTTCCATTTTTTAAAGATAATTAAGGAAGAAAAACTTTTGTCTGGTTGGGGCCCAAACCCCAAACTTTTGTCTGCGGCTGAGACCTTAGATGGGAGACAGTTGCTGCAAACCGAGGGAGAAGCCTTGCCGACCCGACCGGGGGGCGCACGCGCACGCGCGCCGAGGCCACGTGGGTGCCGCGCTGAGGGAACCCGGCCAGGTGGGAAGTGGTGGCCCCTCCGGCGGGACTCGTGCCCTCCTCAGCCAGAAGAACGGCCTTGAAAACTTCTCAGGCAACAGGTTTGCAAGTGGCCGATTCTCGGGCTTTTTGTTTGTCTAAAAAAAAAAAAGTATTTTGAAATCTCTGTGCCTTCTTCTGCTCATTTTTTGCTGTGAACCCGGAACTGCTCTGAAAAACAAAATCCATGTTTTAAAAGAGGATTTTGCCTTTATCGTTGAGGGATACTCTCACTGAGTATAAAATTCTGACCTTATAACGGTGGGTTTCTTTTCTTTCAGCACTTAAAAATCGTCATTCTGTTCCTTCCGGTGTGCACTGTTTCGGCGAGAAGTCAGGGGCATTGCCCGGAATGTGGGGAACTTCAGGGGCTGTAAGAATTCTTTCAATCATTTCTTTTCAACAATATGATCATGCTTTGCCTTGATATGGTTCTCTTTGTATTTATCTTGCTTGGAGTTTATTGAGCTTCTAAGATATATGGGTTTATGTTTTTCATCAAGTTTCCGCCCCCCCCCCCCCAGATTGTCCATTATTTCTTCAAATACTTACTCTCTCCTCTCCTTCTGGCATGCCAATTACAGGTCTGTTAGACCCCTTGACAGTGTCCGCCCGGGGCCCTGAAGTTCTGTTCATTGTTTTCAGCCCCCTTTCTCTCTCTCTGCTTCAGTCTGGAGAATTTGTACTGCGCTGGCTTCTGACAAACCAGCTGTTTCTTCCATAGTATCTAATCTAAAGCACATACAGTGGATTTTTCCCTTTCAGATACTGTATTTTCGTGTCTGGAATTTCCACTTGGTTCTTTTCTAGTTTCTCTTCTCCATTCTGATTTTTAAATGTGTTCCCTCATTATATTTTTGTGTTTCTTTAAATGTTTTGAGCAGTTAAATGCAGCTTCTGGGTCTATCTCTACTCACTGGTCTTCCTAACGACTATGGGTCATGTTTTCCTGCTTCTTCACACATCTGGTGGTGTCTGGTTTTGTGTGAGACATCATGGATGCAATGTCGTGCGTCTGGGTTTTACTGTCTCCCTTAATAAATTGCTGAGTTTTGCTCTGCTGGGCAGTTAATTTGCTTGCCAGGTGAACCTGATTCTTTTAAGACTTGTTTTAATGTTCTGCTAGAATAGGCACAGAGTGCCTTTCCTCTAGAACTAGATCAAGCCTACTTTTATGGCATCTTGTGGACTGAATGTTTGCATACCCCTAAAATTCATCTGTTAAGGTCCTAATGCCCAATATGATTGTATTTGGGGGCGGGACCTTTGGGACGTAGTTAGGGTTAGGTGAGGCCATGAGGATGGAGTCCTCATGGTGGGACACCAGAGAGCTTATTCTCTCTCTCTCTCCACCAGGTGAGGACACAGTGGGAAGGTGGTGTCTGCAGACCAGGAGGAGGGCCTGCCCCTGAACCAGACCATGTGGGGGGCCTGGTCTCGGACTTCCAGCCCCCAGAACTGTGAGAGATAAATGTCAGCTCTTTAAGGCACCGTGTCTGTGGTATTTTGAGTAAGACAGGACATGGCCTTCTGAGTCCCCGCTGAATGCCGCAGCCGGCAGTAAGCCTTGTCCCCATGGCGGTCAGAGCTCAGACGACTTCTGCGTTGTGGTTGCCCCGCTACGTTCTCCCCTCCCGAGGGCACGTTCTTTCCCGGCAGCTCCTGCCGCCTGCCCGTGTCTTCAGGGGCAGCTGAGTCTTTGACTAAAACCCCAGAGAGACCAGCACTCATATTTCTGGCGTGCCCTCCTCTCTGGGCCCCTACCCTGAAAATCCACTGCCTCCGCGGCTTCTAATTCCAGCCTCTGTCCCCACAGCCCCGTGAGCCTGCCTGCTCGGTGCGGTCGCCTCGCTGGGCTGTGGTCCAGATGGTAGCTCCAGGCAGAGCACAGGGTGACCGAGGGACTCCTGCACTGCTTCCTTCTCTCAGCCAGCCTCTGCCTGTTGCTCAGCATCTGGACGTGCTCTGTCGCATAGTTCCAGTCACTTATGCCGGGGAAGGAGGGTCTGGTACCAGTCTCTCCATCATAGTCAGAAGCAGAGGTCCACCCGGGTGATATCCCAGGAAGTTCCCATTTGATGATTTCTGTTTTCTCTGTCAACTGATAGACAACATCACCCCCCCGCCACCCCCAAAGTTTGCGGAATGGAAGTGAGAGGGGGTGGAGAAGCATAGCTTCAAAGAAGGATTATAATGCCAGTGGGAGCCAGGATCCCTCGGAGACCCTGCATCGACAGTGGCCACAGTCGGAGGCGTGTGTGAGGTGAGCTCAGCTGTGGGGCTGGGCCTGGAGACAGCAAGCAGATGGGTGCACGCCGCGCACCAGGACAGCGGGAGGAGCACGTAGAGTGGGGACCAGGCGGGGAAGGAGGGACAGTGGAAGGGACGGGCATGACGGTGCTCACAGAGGGGAAGAGAGGATTGAGGCAGTGGAGGGCCTTAGGATTTGAAGAACAGGTGTGGTGGGAGTAGCAGAGAAGATGTTAGACGCTCAGGACATCCTGAACAGAAGGGACATTAGCACGTCTTTCTGAGTAGAGGATGGGTTCAAGTGTGGTTGTGGGAGACACGTAGCAGACAAGGAGTAGGGACGGATGTTTCTAGAGATGAGGAGGAAATGAAAAGCCAAGGGGCTATGAATTTGGATGAACTATTCACCGGAATGCAGAAGCCATCTGGGATGCTGCCAGGTCGTGGCGTGACAAGGGACACTGAACTCAGTGCTAAAATCCTTAACAAAATTGACAGGCTGAAGGCCAGGAGACGACAGGAGGGCAGGGGCATCGGGACTGGTCCAGTACACAGCCTGCATCCCTGAGGAGCATGGTTTTGCATGCACGGGGAGACACTGGGGCACAAGGCCAGCATCCAGCCCCCCGGCCTGAGCCCCTGTGATGGGCACACGGCCACACCCAGCACAGGCTCGGAGCGTGTGTTGTGCACAGCTCCGCATTCAGGTAGGGTGCCACTGATACGGGAGATGTTGCATCTATTATCATGATGTGCCCACAGCTCCAAGTAACTCGTCTAGAAGCAAGTGAGCCATTTTCTAACTCATACAGAAGCACCATGTGGACAGTTGGTGCCCTGGGTGGGGACTGAGCACCTCTCCTGGGATGAGCACAAGGAAAGCGTGTCCGGGAAGGGAAGCGTGTCTGGAAAGGCACAGGCTTCTGCTGGTGCCAGGGGTGAGGGGGAGAGACCAGGGGCTCGGCATGGATGTGGGGGTTCTGCAGGACTCCTGGAAGGGCCAGCATGGGGGCAGTGGGTCAGGGACCTGGACTGGAGGGGCTGGAGTAGGTTAGGCAGAAGCTTTCTGGACCCCAAGGACGCTGGGTTTTGGATTCTGTGCATCTCTGGGTCCCTGGCTGCTCAACCTGCGATTTACAGATGGGGCCCCTCCTGCAAGGCATCAGGAGGTGGGGGCTCACGGCCTCCTCTCTGCCCCAAATCTTCCCTTTTTGTCCCTTGGGGTGCCTCCCTGTCCCTCCCCTCTCCCCCCATCCCATCCATGGACTCTGCCCCGGAACATTGCACCCCTGCGCGTGGGCAGGCTTGCGTCTTTAGGAAACACACAGGGCTCCCATGGAAGAAAAACAGAGGCGTTTCGGGGGTTGCTGAGACAAGCTTGTGATGTTTACACACCAGCCTCATGCCCACGGGGAGCAGCCCCTCCCCAAGACGGAGCCAAGGAGACACAGAAGACTAGGGGTTGGCAGAGGCATCCGCGATGGCCTTGAGCGGGGGGTCTTCTCTATGCCTCCACCGGCTTGGTCGTTTTCCCCAGTAACCCTGGGTCTAATATTAAAAAAAAAATCATGTGATAACCACATACTTTATCAGGAGACATACCGGGCTTATCCCTTCCTGGGTGTAACCCTGGGGGTGCCCAGTGCCAGGCGTGCATGTGGCCGCTTTTCCACGTCGGCATCCTGGCGCGACCTGGCTCCTGGCCCTGGGGCGGCATGGGAGCTCCTGCCGGAAGCCTTGCCTGCAGGCACGGCCGCTCGGTCTCCTGCCCAGCGGCCTATCTGAGCTCCTTTTCCCAACAAAGGACCCAAGGTGTTGGTGCCACAGGGGACAGAGAGAAGTTATTTGCGTTTGCTGAGCAAACAGAGAGGACATTATAAAACAGCTCATGGCCGTGGGCGGTGCGCATTCTGCAGGCGGCCCCGGCGTGCAGCGTGGACATGGGATCTCGAAGCGTCCAGCTCCTGGCCGTACTCCTCGTCCTGGGGGGCGAGGGGCTGTGTGCCCTGGCAGGGGCCCAGAAACCTTGTAAGTGACCACCCGTATGTTGCCCTGTGCAGCTCAGCGTCCTTGACTGGGCAACAGAGCATTCGGGCCCGCGAGCCGGGAGAAGCCCCAAATGCAATGGGCGTATGCGAGTCCCTTGCCCTCGGTGGGTCTCTGTTCTTGTTTGTCTTCCTCAAAGCCACAGGGTGGTGTGATGGGCTCCCTGGAGAGTAGAAGTAGCTAAAAAGGCATCCTGAGCTCTGTGATGTGGGCTGACTGCATTTGTGCATCCTTTCCTGCCATTCGGGAGGGACACCCAGGGGTGTGTGAGACCTCCAGGAAAGGCCTCCTTCCCGGAGAAGGTCAGGGTGACCACAGGTGCTGGGGGGCCGGCTGGGGAGAGGGGCTGGGGCAGGAGGCCCCCAGGGCATCTGGAGCTCACCTTGGTCACCTTTCATCTTGACTTTTCCTGAGGTCCACCATCTTTGCTGAAGTCTTTTCCTTTCTTTTTTTTTTTTTAAACTAATAATTTCTGCAAAACCCTGTTTGTTCCTCAAGACGATGCGTAGTTGAAATCCGGACGAGATGAGACTTTCCGGTTTCCCTGTGTGGCCGCCACACCTGGGGAGGGGTCCGAACGTGCCCCCGAGAGCAGGTGGGGTCCTGTGGGGGGACAGGTTGACCGAGGCTCTCTTCCCAGCCCCCTGCCAGTGCTCACGGATCACAGCCCGTAACAGGAAGAACTGTGGCTTCCCGGGCGTCACCCCCGAGACGTGCTTCAGCGCCGGATGCTGCTTTGACTCCACAGTCCCCAATGTCCCCTGGTGTTTCCACCCCCTTCCGAAGCAAGGTAACCGGCCGGGGAGCTGGCCCTCTTCCTGCCCCCACCCCGGCCACCCAGAAGGGAAGAGACAGCGGCCCCTGGCGCACTAGCCCCACCTGGAGCACCAAGGGTCAGCCACTCGCCGCCCCCCCCCCCCCACAGACATCTGTGAGAAGCCATCAGTTGTACGATTAGAAGGAAAAACAGCTCCCAGGCCTCTCCTAGCTGTAAAGCTGCAACTTCTGAAGGAGCTTTTAAGAGATATGAAGGCAGTTAATAGGACATTCTCCACATAACTGCTCACAGACCTCAAATGGTAAGAGATCCAGTTAAGACTTCCAGGATGTTCTTCTGAGGATGAGGTTTATGGCAGCGCACATTCGCAAGATAGAAGGTCATTATTCGTGCCAACGCGTGCACAGAAGAAAGTTACATGTGCAGAGCACGCCGTGGGGGTGGAGCTCGGCACCCACGGCTCCCTGGGCTCCAAAGGGGACAGGCACATGGCTGGTTATTAGGCAGGGCCCTTTCTCTGGTGGAAGCATTGCTGGCTTTCAGGACTTTGGCAAAATGCTTCACCTGCCTAAAGGGTGCTTACCACCCGTTCTCATCAGAGTACAGTGGTCACCCATTTTACAGATGGGAATATCAGGTCTAGAGAGGCGAACTGAGTTTCCCAAGGCCCCAGGACATCGGACCTGTGGCATCCGTGCAGATCCATGGGTGTCCAGGCGCTGGCGCCAGCCCTTAGACGGTCCTTGGGGGGGTCGCGGTCCAGCAGCCCCTCATAACAGGGAGGCTGAACCCAGCCGCATCCCCGTGGGAGGACGGGCAGAGACGTTGCTGGTTCCTGAGCTGCCCTCACCGAGTGTCCGTGTTGCTCCTTTCCAGAGTCGGAGCAGTGTGTCATGGAAGTGTCCGCCCGTAGGGACTGCGGGTACCCGGGCATCAGCCCTCAGGTGTGTGCGTCTCGCAAGTGCTGTTTTTCCGACACTATCGTCAACGTGCCCTGGTGTTTCTTCCCAATCCCTGTGGAAGGTAACGTCCTGCGGGACGGGGGCTGGGAGCTGGGGCGGGCCCCAAGCCGACCCCAGGCCTGACCCCCATCGGGGCAGTGCCCCCGAGCCCAGGGGGGGACCATCTCCGGAAAAGGTGGCTCTGAGGATGGCTCGTGCAACGGCCATGGAGAGCAGGTCACCTCAGCCACGCCCCTGGATCCCTGCCCAGCTGGTGGTGCCGCCCAACCGACTGTCCTGCAGCCACGGGTTGGCAGTGCCACTAAGTGCCACATGCTGTGCCGGGTGCTGGGGCCGACGTGGACCTTCTCCCGTGGGCCTTGCTCTTCCCTCACCGTGAGCACGACGGACAAGTTCTGCCCGTGGCGGCCTGCTCAGGGCCACCCCGGGAGGGTCCGGTTGTCCCCCCCCCCACTGTTAGCCACAGTGCGTCTCTGACCCTGAGTTATCAACACCAAGGACAGGTCTGGCGTGTCCCCCAAAACGGGCAGCATGCCCTTGCCCATGCCGGACGCTTTCCTTTCCCCGTTTCAGAACATCAGGGTGAGCCAAAGAGCGCGGCAGAGACCTAAGGGTCTCTCTGGACAATTGCTAGTTAGTGGGGGAGAATGGACCCCCGAGAAGTGTCCTCCTGCCCACCCCACCCCGGAGAGGGAGCTCCTTGGGCAGGAAGTCTGGTCAAGGGCCTGTTGATAGGAGCCCCCAGGGCCTGTCAGCGTGGGCTCCCTCAGCCCCCAGACGCTGTCCCCACCCATTGGCATTTCACACTTCTAGATTGCCATTATTAAGAGGAGTCCCTTCCGAGAACCCACCAGGCTCTCTGGGTGTTTGGAAATGAAGAAGACTCACCATCGCATCTCGTGTCTCCAGAGTTCCTGGCTTTCCTTGGTCTGTTTTTTATCCTTTTCACTGGTTCAACATACAGTTTCTTCAAATAAAGAAAACACTTGAAGTCTGCTAAATTTCCTTTTGGCTTCATTGACACAGAAGTGGAGCAACAGAGGGAGAGAGGGAGTGTGCGTGTATACAGGTGTGAGGGTGTGAGGGTGTGTGTGGGGGGGGGTGGGGACAACTCATCTAGCCAGTACAAACCACCCCAGCAGCAAGAGGGAATTCACGATCCACCATCACTCCCATTCCCAATCACTCGTATAGAAACTCAAATGACTTTAGCCCTGAAAACGTCTTGCAGTAACGTCTGATTTCAGATTGCAATTACAAAATTGCCTTGCCTTTACCAAATGCATCCCAGACTACAGCTTTTGCAGGAGTGCGGGGCGCCACCATCCGTCCTGGCGTGGGTGGGGCGGGGTGGGCTGGCTCCGACGCTTCCCATCCTCCACCCCCGAGCCGCTGTGGCAACGTGCCGAAGTCTGGGTCCAAAGAGGAGGTTGACAACTGCCACCGAGGCCAGGCCAGCCAGTGGGGGGGTTTTGGCACAAAACCTAGCGTGTGTCTCCGCGGAAGGGTCCTGGCATTCTTCAGTCGGGGGTGGACATGGGGGGGACACGGGCCGGTCTTTCTGTGGCTTGTCCCTCCTTCCCTATGCCACCTCCAGCCTGAGCCCGCTGCATAGTACTTCTGTCCCGACACCCCTGGACGGAGAGTTTGGGGTTCTGCTCCCAGCACTGGCGCCGTGGCCATACTGCATGCTGGGTTCAGGGCAAGCTCCTGGTTTCATGCCCTCCTTGGGCATTTTCTGGTCCTTGGCCCCCGTCCTCAGGCTGCGGGGGCCCTTGGCACACATCTCTGAGTGCGGGGACAGGGCATGCTTCCTCAGAGTTCTCTCCTCATGCCCCCTCCCCAGTCCTGCTTCCCTGGGCGGGGGTCTCCCCGGTGCAGTGCGCCCTTTGTTCTGAGCCCATCCTGATAACCGAGGGCGGCTCCTGGAAGAACTGCACTGGCCGCCGCCACGGGCCTGGGGGACTTGGCAGATCTACTCCGGGTCAGGTACTCTGACTCTTGCGGGTTACAGGTGCCACTGTGTGGCACCCCACCGTGGTTGGGATAGTGCTGCCCCCCACCTCCTCCTTGAGGTGGGCCACCCTAGGGTCCTCATTGCCCCTAGAATAACAGCTGGTGACATTCAAACCCACCCCATCAGAAAAGCCAACCTTCCTCTTTCTCCTCCTACGATGAGGTAATTCCCTGGTCCCCTCTGCGGTGTCTGCTCCAGTGGGACCCCGCTGGTGGGGGAGCGGGGAGGCTGGTGCACAGGGTCTGGCAGCGGTCGCCCCCAACCGGAGCAGGGGCAGGGAAAGTCCAGTGCTGCCCCTCAATTCCACTGTCGCGGTCTCCCGGCTCCCCAGGTTCGTGCAGTCCTTGCCTGGCCGGCTTAGGTAGACAGATGCTCTGAGAAGCCTTTTGGCCAAGGGAGCAACAGGACATGTCACAGTGCACCTGTGGGCTGATATCCCTGGTGTGTGACCTTGGGGAGGGTCTCCTCTCTCTCAGATTTTCAGCCTTGCTGTTTGTAAACTACAGGTACTAATTCCGTCCTTAGCCGTGTTGCAGTGGGAACTGAAACGAGTCTTCGTGAGCTGCCTGGTACACAGTGGGCTCCTTCCGGAGAGTCTGGACAGAGATGCCTCTGCTCTCTTGTCCTGACAGGACCAGGCGGGGACGTGTTGAAAAACCCCTTCCGTGTGCAGAGCAGCATGGCTGTGTCCAAAATGTGGGTAGAGCCTAAGAACACATACCTACTCCTTACATTCATGACACAGTCACCGTATACTGGACACGCGGACAGTGGATTCTCTATTCAAGGTAGTTATGTTCCATAGAGTCATGGACACTGAATTAGCAAACTCTTGAGCCATTGAGACTGGGAGACACACAGGGTCAGGTTCCTGAGCGCCTCCTAACCAAGTTCATCAAGGATCAATACATGACCTTGCTTGATGTGTGTTTCTGTTTAAAGACCATTTATTTCATATACATTGTTGATGCAGTAACACTGGACTCACAACAACCAGCACTGTAAGTCCTGGCTGGACGTACACGTGTGCACAGCATGTCACAGCCGCTCACCCCCAGGCCACCTGACAGCACTTCCCCACTGTGCGTGGGAACCATCTAAACAGCAAAATCAACAAAAAGCACAAGAATGCATAAAACAAGGTACAAACAGACCATGAAAAGACAGCTGCCTTCACTCTGAGAGCTGAAACAAGAAGGCAGAGCGTCACCTTGTTGGCCTCCGGCTGGCAAAGTTCATGCTACAAATAACTTTTAGCGAGAGGGTGGATTTGCAAATAGGGATCCGTAGATAATGACGCTCGGATGTGTATTCATCATAGGCATTACATATTCATCCCATGTGTTTTGGAGACATGGTACATACACACATATACCCTTAGCTGTTGCTCTGGGGTCCGGGGGCCCAGCCCCTCTGTTGACACCCCTCCCTGCCCCCTTTGCCTAAAGAAAGAGAAGAAAAGACCGAAGCACAGTCTGAACCTCCGTGGGGCCCCTGGAATCAGGGCCCTGCAGAAGAGTGTAGGTGTTACATCTCCAAAATAGAGATACTGCACTTACGTTCTAGATGATCTCTGTATCAAGCTCACTTCCCAGTTGTGTGACCTTGAGAGCTGTACTTAGACATTCTGTGCCTAACTGTACCCATGTGCAAAGTGGGGGTTAAAATTAACAGGATCACTTTTTTAGAGGCTTGTTGTGAGGATCTGATGAGTTAATTTATGAGACGTGCCAACAACAGTGTCAGGCACATAGCAACTGTTTAGTGAGAACGTAGCCAGGCCAGGCTCCCCCACCCGGGGAGACAGAAGTGTCCCCACTGTCTCAGGACACAGTTCTCAGACCCTCCACGATCCTACCTGCTGATGCAGGAAGGCCATTCCCTGCCGAGTCCCCTCCCCAGGGCTCCTCCATGGCTCTGGCCATGCTGTGGTCCCAGTGGGCAGTGGTCCCTGTCCTAGGTTGGCACGATGCTGCCGCCACCTCCTTGGGAAGGGCCTGGCCAGAGGTGTTCCAGTGAAATGGGAATTTGTCAGCTTATTGTCCCCCCCCCTTTTCACAAACCCCTTGCCCAAGGCTTGTCTGCATCTGTGTGAACAGCTGTGGGGGGATTTCCAGGGCATTCCTGGGAGTTTTCTGAGCTTCCCTGAACACAGATGGACTGGGGACAGAGGGATCTCCTTGGTCCACGGCACCTGAAAGAGCCTGATCCCTGCTCCAGCCCAGCCAGGCTCCCCTGGCCGCTCAGACACAGATGTGCCAATACCATGGCTCCAGGCCTGGATGACCAGCTTTCCACAGGGTCCCGAGGGTAGCAGACTCCATATGATTTCCTGTCCTCCGAAGAGAGCACGGAACTTCATAAGTGCTCAACCTTCATTTAGCACGGTCACAAATGTGGCTTTGAGGAAAGAAGGACCACCGTTCTGTTTGTCCTTGGGACAGGTGGCTAATGAACGTGAAGAGCTTCCAGCCAAGGATGCTCACACGTCAGTCCTCTAGTGCCCTCTGCTGGCCGCCCTGGGAGCAGACTTCCCCAGCCTTCACCTATTGGGCACGGTGGGTCTCCCGGGGCAGCAAAGGAGTGCTGACTATACTTAGCCTCCCAATGTCAAGAGAGTCATCTCAATAACTACTGTAAATTGCTAAACTTATCACATAAGTCAGATTGGGCCAGATTTATTGATGTGGGTTTGCAAAGCAGAGGGAGGGAGAGAGGGGAGGGGGGGAGGGGGAGGGAGGGGGAGGACAGAGATCCAGTCTCTTCTTATATTGACACTAATCCTATTGAGAAAGGAAAGAGTTAAGGTCTAGGCAGGGAGAGGAGCTGGCCCCTGCCTGGGCTCTGAGACTATTCCTGGAAGGCAGAGGCTAAACCAGAGCCAACAAGAGACACGGAGGCAGACCACCTGGTCTCGGATGGCCGCGAGTATTTTTCTTTGGCGGCTACAGTGTATCATAGTAAATGACTAAACCCCAAAGAATTAAGTCATGAAGGGGGTCATCAAGAGTCCATGCTCAAACCAAGATGGCGCTAGAAACTCAAAGCCACAAGCTTCCCGGTCAGTTCTCCATAAAAGACTACCAGCAGAAGCCCTCCGTGGCAACCCATTCGGGACCCCCCTTCCCTCTAGAGAGCTTCTTCTTTCCTTTCCTTTCTGCTCTCACCTTCTCTTAATAAACTCTCACTTCACTTCACCCTTTTGTGTCCTCGAGATTCATTCTTCGACTCCGTGAGACAAGAACCCTGCAATCCTGCCACACTATCAGATCAGGGTCCTACAGTTATGACCTCATTTAAGCTTAATTATATCTGTAAAGCCCCTCCCCCGCCACCTCCTCACCCCCTGTCTCCAAATACCATCAACCTGAAGGTCATGGTTTCAACATACGGACTTGGGGGCGGGGTACAACTCAGTCACAGCATCATTAATCAGCTCAGTGTCTTTACACTAGTAACATTGATAATGGTAACACTTATACCTTAAAGGGTTTTTTTTTTAATTACCTCTATTGAGGTATGACTCGATATAAAATTTTCCTGTTTTCGGTGAATTGGTTCGTTGAGTTTTGAAAAACGTACACAGTCATGGAGACACTACTGCAAGGAAGATGCCGAATTCTCTCCGCCCTTTCAAGGTCAATACCCTCCTCCTACCTCCAGCCCCAAGAGACCAATGATCTGCTTTCTTTCACTACAGTTTTGACTCTTCTGGAATCTCACACAAATATTCCACCAGCGTGTGCTCCTGAGCCTGCCTTCTTGCACTGAGCACCACACTCCTGAGCCGCGTCCTGGTCTCTGCGTGTAAGGGGGCTCCCCTCCATCATTTCCCGCCTCTGCCCTGCCCCCCCAGCAGGGACATCTGACACCGGTACCGCCCACCAGCTGATGGACTTCCCGGCAGGCTCCCAGTTCCTTAGTCTGAACCAAGTTTCCATGAACAATTACGTACAGGTCTTCCTGGACTTTGGGTAAATACCTTTTCTCATGGTAAAGATCCGTGGGTAAGATTGCTGGGTAGGGTCGGGAAGAGTCATGCTTAACTTTGTAAGAATCTAACAAATCCTTCTTCAGAGTAATTGTCCTGGTCTGCCTTCCCAGCAACAATGTATGAGAATTCCAGGTATCTCGCATCCTCTCCCACACTTGGCATCATTTGTTTTTCAATTGTAGCCAGGCTCGCTGCGATGCCCTATTTCATTTTCATTTTCATTTATATTTCCCTAGCAGCTAGTGACATGGGTATCTTTTCATGGGCTTATCTTTCTCTTACATCTTCTCTGCTAAAGCCTCTGCCCAAATCTTTACATCATTTTACTCAGGGGTGTTGTCATCTTCACACTGAGCTGTGGGGGCTCTTCATCTGTTCTGCAAATAAGCTCTTTACTGGGTGTGTGTTGTGTAAACACTTGCCCCCAGTCTGTGACTTGCTTTTCCGTTTCCTTAGCAGTACCTTTCAAAGAGCAAGTGTGTTTCCTTTTGCTGAAGCCCACCTTCTTTATGACTCACACTTTGTGTCCCCTGCTAAAAAAATCTGCCTAATCCAAGGCCACAAAGGTTTTTTATTGCATATTCTTCTAGAAGTTTTATAGTTTTAGCACTTGCACTTTGGGTTTATGACACTTTTCAAATTAATTTTTCAGTTTGAATTGGGATATTTTCCTTTATTTTTTATTCTCTGGAACGATCTCTGTAGCCAGGGGACCATTTGCTGTTTGCAGCTTTGTTAGAATTTTCCTGTGAGCGCTTCTGGGCATGAAGATTTCACAGGTTTGTGCCTGGATAACACTTTCTGTTTCTCCTGAAGTTTATTTGAGCTTTCTGTCTCTATTGGAGCAATTTTGGTGAACCGACCGCACTTTTCCTAGGGACTTATCCAGCGCATCTAGATTTTCCAAATTTCACAGAGTCGCATAAAGTGGTATAGAGAAGCTTTATATAATTTTTAAAGTTTCCTCTGTTTCAACAGGTGTTTCCCCTTCGTCAAGCCTTATTTTGTATACTAGGGTTTTTCTCCTCCTTTTCCCCCTCCTTGAATTGGTTAGTTGGTGGTTTGAAATTTTAGCTGTTTTTGTTTTTGTTTTTTTTAAGAACAGACATTTCGATTTTTGCTTAATCGTACGCTTTTCCCCTCAGCTCCTTCATCAATTGCTTTATTTGGGCTCACGCTGGGAATTTAATCCACTTATTCTTTTTTTTAAGATTTTATTTATTTATTTGACAGATTAGAGGCACAGTGAGAGAGGGAACACAGCAGGGGGAGCGGGAGAGGGAGAAGCAGGCTTCCCGCCGAGCAGGGAGCCCGATGCAGGGCTCGATCCCAGGACCCTGGGACCATGACCTGAGCCGAAGGCAGACGCTTAACGACTGAGCCACCCAGGCGCCCTTAATCCACTTATTCTTGATCTGTGTTTAAAGCTATACATTTTACTGTCATCAATATTTTAAACATTCTTCATAAATTCAGAAATATGTTGTTTTTATCATGATTTAAAAAAAATTCTGTAATTCTGGTTTGTAGTTTATCTTTTAGCCGTAAATGTTTACTTTATATTTAAAGTATGTAAATATCCATGTGCAAAAACCTTTTAAAAATATTGTCCTGATTTCCTAGTTTTGTTGCCTTTGACCACAGACTGATTGTAAGGCTTCTGTTCTGTGGAACGTCATGCTTTCTTGGTGAGCACGTGGATGATGAAGTTTTGCCGTTCTTTCCCATGGGTACTTAATAGGTCCCGTTGTCAGGACCTAAAGCCTGATGTGCATGTGTCCCTAAGATCTACCTTACTGATTACTTTGCTGGAGTCTCTATTTCCTTACTTAGATTTCTGTTCACATGACTTGTCTTATGCCCAGCATGGTGTCCCCAACGTTCATCAGTTGTGTTTTTATCCATTTCTGCCTGCATGACCCATTCTTTCTGGTTTGTAAAGCAGAATACATTTGCCTAGCCTTTTATGGGTACAAACATTTATAACTGTCACATCCTCATTGCGACTTGTGGCTTATAAAGTGTCCTTCTTAGTCATGTGTGAGTGCTTTGGCCTGAGTTCTCTTTTGTGGGATCATCGAGATGGCATCCCCTACTCACTCAGTGTCCTGCTAGATAAATCCCTTCTGATCATTAGTGTTTTAAAGTTCTATATTTTTAGCAATCTACTGATAAATTCCAATTATAATTTTTAATCATGATGACTATTGGTTAAAAGCAGAAAGCAAATGGAATCCTGATCAAGAAATACAGGAAGTGAATGAAGAGAATCATAATACAAATAATTACAGTGAAAATCCATCCTTGGATCTTCAGCAGGTAAGTTATCTATTGGATTGACTTAAAAATCTTGTTGAGAGCATGCACGTTTCTCCAGAAAGTAAAAACAATGTTAAAAAAAAAAAAGACCAGAATATAAACTATTGTGTTCTTAATGAAACACTTATCAGAAAAAAAATATTTGTATATCAATTCACTTTACCCTATACACTACAAAGTTACTACCCATTATTTTTTGTAATTCCTAAGAAAGAGCTTGAGGCTTTGTTTTCTGTGAGAAGTGTCAACAGACGGGAGGGTTGGGCAGCATTGCTTAATGTCTGCTTTTATCCTGCCTACCACTCTTGATCCTCATAATAACATATGAGTTCTTTATTAGCTCTAGAATCTGAACTTTTCTGCTTTGTGGCTACAGTGTTCTGCAAAATGTAACTTGGTGCACTGAGTATATTGAATTATGATCCAAATGATCCTTATCATGGCAAATGAAACCACGTGGGGTTCCTGTCTGCCTGCTCTCAGTTAGTTTTACGGGTCCATGTAAATGTGATGATGAGCAAATGCTCAGCCTCCGATTTCCATCACTCAGTAGCCACTGGGCGGGCACTTGCCTGGAATGAAGCAGTTTGCCCGATAACTAACTTCTCGCCTCAGGGTGGAGCTCTGTGTTACAGGATTCCTCACCCGTGAGCCTCAGGCCAGGGTCGACCTGTTTTATTCCCTTCACTGATCCATCCTGCGGCCACAGACACCCGAAAGCAAGGACTTCCGTCCTCCTGTAGATGGGTGCTGAGCAGCAAGCAGCTTCCAGCTCAAGGGAGCGAGCCAGAAAGTCAGCTGAAGCCAGGGATCTGCTCCAAGACCAGTCAGCCGCTCTGGGCATCAAACTCAGGAGTCTGGTTAGCAAGTTAGACCAAGTCCCGTGGAACTGAGTCACGAGGGACCAAGGATGGCTATCATTTGCACCCCCAGATCATCGCAATCCGTCTTCCACCACATATGCTCCAAGTCTGGGGATGTCTCACTCCGCCCTGATGCCCTGGAGAGAGGCGCCTTCTTGCTGCATTTTCTTCATGTTTAGGCAACACATCCCCCATTGACTCGATGACGTCCCTTCCACCTGGCAGAGCCCAGTGCAGTCCCCCTTTCCTTCAACACCGCCTCCATTAGAAGAGTGAGACGCTAATGTTGATACCCCATGCCCGCATATCTTTCCTCCCACAGCCTGCATGTGTGTTTGTGACCTCACTTTTGAAATTAACATATTCACCTGCCGGATCCTTCTCCGTGTGCCGAGCCACTGGAGGGCAGTCGCTACAGCTCTAGGGAGGCAGCCCGGATCCCACAATGTGGTCTTTGACTTTGACTTTAGGATGCCCTCTCCAATGACTGCAGTTCTCTTATCAGTGTTGACCACATCATCTTCTTCCTTTATAACCACCCACAGTACCTGGGCTGAAGCCTATGCACACAAAGAATGTTTGATAAATATTGACCGATTGTTCTTTGTTCAATAACTTATCCACCTATAGGAGCTCAGCAAATATTAAACACTTTGGTAAAACCCCTCAAGTCGTTCAAAACAAGATATCGTAGAGCGCTATGTATGTATGAATAATCTGCTAATGAACACAGTATTAACTTCTTGCCATTTGATATGCAAAACAGGGCTATTACGAGTCTCGAGACCTGGTGGGTACCTTTATAACTAAGAACTACAGGGAGGCACTGGTCACTGAGGCTGGCTCTTGCCTGTGATGTTGCCATTCTTTGTGAACTCACACTTTGCTTTCAGTTCCCCGATGGATTATATACTCAATACGGTGCATACATGACAGCAGGGCAAAAGCATTCTTTGAAACGTTGATGTGATGGCGAGTAACGACAGAGTGAATGTGAGAGATATACTGGTTTCGAAGCCAACAAAAGTCCATGTGGCACCTTTAACACAAACCAGCCAGAATCCCTGTGAGGAGCAGCCCTGCAGAGGGGGCTGGCTGTGAGGAATTTCTCCCCGCTCCCCACCCCGAGGAATCTCCCTCCCCTGCATAGACAGGTGCAAGGAAGCATGTGGAGAATCTGGCCCAGGTCATCTGGCACATTCCCTTTGATGGTTCAATATGTTTTTTGCTTTTGGCAAACAATGCATTTCTTAAGGATGGGATCTGCTTTCGATTTCTTTTGAATTTCCTAAAAACTAATGCGGCTGAGCTAAAACTTGGGATGTGGTGGAAAGAATCAGGTATGATATAAGGTTGCCTTTTATGAGATGTGAGATACTTTCAATTCTGATCATTCTTATGCTAACTTTTAGTGAAAAATCTAATGGGCCATTTTTCCTCCTCTGATGGATTAGTGCTCATTTCTAGAAAGTCAGAATCACAATCTGTAGTTTATTCTCTCTGACGGACTTTGAAGTCAAGGCTGAGATGGTACACAGCAGGGGACACACCAGCAGCATATTTGGGTTCAGAGATTAATAGTATGAACCCACGATGGCTTCCTCGGCACTCCCCTGCTGGGATACCAAGTCACGCTCAAGCACGCTCTTCCTCCCCGACCCGGGACATAGTCAGGTCTCCATATCGAGCAGATTCGGCAAACCTACTAATAACGGAGAGAAAGTTGAGATTGCACTGCAGAGGCCCAGGAACCTAGGAATCAAAATCAGAAAACTTGGAATGACTGGAGCCGTCATTTGCTATTAAGATGGATGCTGGATGGGATTCCAGAGTGGTCCCTCCCTCATCCCGGACCAGATAAACCCCTTTGATATTGACCAGGCATCCCGGACGGAACACTAAAATGGCTCCTCCAGACCAGGCCCCCAGTGTTCAGATCCCGCGCCTCCGAGCCGGCTTCTCCCAGGCTTGGTCACTCTCGGCGCTTTCTCCCCCTTGCTTCCCAAACCGCTTTATGGTATCTGGATTTTTTTAAAATAACAATTTTCAGCAGCCAGATTTCAAATCCTCTTTCTTAGAGAAACAGTATGTAAGGTAGGGTGCTCCTCTCTATATACACACCACCCAGATTTATTCATGTTGGACTTCTGTTCTATTTGCCTTGATACCTCTCATTTTATAAAAAGAAATAAAACAAGGGAAGTACCACCTTTACCTGTTCTTTCCCCTCCCTTCCTGGAGTTAACCACCATTCTGAAGTCAGTGTATATTATTCCTACGCATACCCCTAAACAGTATGTGGTGCTTTTTGTTGTTGTTTTTTAAATAATCAGAAATGGCATTATAATACACAGGCTTTTGATCTTATATTTTACACTTTAGAAATTTATTCTTATTGATAAAAATAGGTCTGATGCATTCATTTTCATGTGGGGTGCATTCCCCTATTGATTAGCAATTATGTATATTATCCCCAGTGTCTTCCTATCAAAACAATATGCACTTGTTTCATTTACTAGGTATTGTCAAAATGCTTGCCCAAGTAGATGCACTAATTACATTCAGCAACTTTGAGGAAGAGTTCCTTTTTCCCCATACCCTTGTCAGTATTTTGTGACATGGGTACAATCCATGTGAGCGAAATGGTGTGTAAATGTTAGTTTCTTTTGTCATTCCCAACTGTGAGGGACATTGGGTCTCTTTCCATCCTTTACAGTAAATTACCTCTGCGTGTATTTTAAAAACTGTTGTTTGTCTTTTTCTTCTTGGTTTGTAGAAATTCTTTATGTATCCTCGATAGTGATCCTTTGTCGATTGCGTGGGTTTTAAATATCTTTTCCTAGTTTGTGGCTTGGCTTTCTTATTCACCTGTCACGTCTTGCTGAATAGGTAGCCTGAATATTAATTGAATCAAGCCTATCAACTGTACCTTCACGACATCTGTGATTTTAGAAAATCTCAAGAAATCTTTAAAACCACAAAATTATAGGACACAAAGTTAATATAGAAATGGATTGTGTTTTTACATATCAGCAGCAAACAACTGGAAGTAATCACCCGAGAATAAAGGCAATCTTACTTCTTCTTTCTAATCTTTATGCCTTTTTTTTCCTTCTTGCCTTATTACATCTATTAGAACCCTTACAATGTTAAATAGAAATGAGAGTAAGAATCCTTGCCTTGGTCCCAGTCTTACAGGGAGAAGGCTCATATTTTACCGTGAAGAATGGTGCTGAGGTGTTTTTTGGTAGATGCCCTTTATCAGATGATGAATGGTCCTCTCTATTCTTAGTTGTCTGAGAGTCTTCACCATGTGTGAGTTTGACCTTTGTTAGATGCTTTTAACACGTTTGTTGAAATGATCACAGTTTTTATTTTCATTTTTTCTATTAAGGTGGTGAATTGCACTGATTGATTATCTGATGTTAAACCTACCTTGTTAACGTTAGATAAACCCTTGTCACCCATGATGTGTTACTGTTTATGGTATCTTGCTGGATTCAGCTTGTGAATATTTTAAGTTTCTCTGAATCTATGTTTGTGATGGTCTTTCATAATTCATAAAATATTAGCCAGGTTTTGATAGTAGATTTATGCTGGCCCCACAAAATGATCTGGGAAACAGTCCTTCCTCATCTTCTTAGTTTGTGTGAGATAGGAGCTCTTTGACAGAATGACACGGTGAAACCATCTGAACCTGAAATTTACTTTGCGGGAAAGATTTTGATAGTAACTGCAAAATTTTCCATAGAAATCGGGCTATTTAGATTTCCTATTTATTCTTGTGTCCATTTGGTAAATTGTGTTTCTCAGGGACTTTGTCCATTTTATCTGAGTCATCAGATTTGTTGCTATAAATATTAATTAATGTTATTCTGCATATTACCTGCTTTTCCTTTTAATGCCTGTGGGACTATAGAGATAGCCCATCTTTCATTTCTGATATTGGCAATATGGGTTCTCTTTCATTGTTTTCTTGATGGGTCTAGTTAGAAACATATCGATTGTTTTTTTATCTTTTCAAAGATCCAGCATTGTTAATTTTTTTCTTGCTTTTTTTTTTTTTTCTATTTCATTTCTGTTAGACCTTGTGATGCTATCCCCCAGGTCCTGGAAGCTTTGTCTATTTTTCACCTTTCCCCGCTCTGTTCTTTCCCACGTGAGGTGGAAACGTCTGTGAGGAAGAAGAGAGCCCTCACCAGAAGGCAACCGTGCTGGTGCCACGATCCTCGACTTCCAGCCTCCAGATCTGTGAGAAATAAAGGCTGTTATAAGCCACCCAGACCATGATCTTCTGCTAGAGCAGCCTGAGCATGCTGAGGGCCAGACACACACGCTCATATCCACACACGAGTGTCCCATCAGTACATACATCAAGTATGTCAGGGCACGACGGAGCATGACGCACTCACGTTTGATCCCATGGCTTGTGTGGTTCCAGAGCTTTGAAGAGTACCTGTGCTTGTGTTCCATCAAAGTCACATGGACTCGGAAATGACCACCACCCACTGGGGGGCTGGTGGGAAGCCCCCTCGGCAGGTGGACCTCGTCCCACTGGTTCAGGATGATCCCCGTTCACACTTCTCCTCCCGGTATAATCATTACTAGTGCCCTGTAGGCTCTGAAAAGTGTCCCAGTTTGGACAACTCATGACACAGTCGCCTCCCTAAGGGGCCTCCCCTGGCCTCGGGGGTTGGCGCCTGGCCCAGCTTCAACCAGGATATGGGAGTCTCACAACTGCCCACCAGCCTGTGTTGTCTTAGCCTCCCTTGAGACAAGGAAATGAGAACAAAGGACTGCTTGACGACTATTTGGGTGAGGTATGGGAGTGCAGGAGAGGGTTCTACAAACATTGGTGCCTGATTACATATGGCCAGTGATCTGTAGAGACCAGAGACTGGAGGTGCACAGGGAGGACAAAGCAGGCCCAGGACGGGCGTGGAAGCACAGGGTTGTGGTTGGCAGGATGGACGGGGTCCGGGTGCAGGGGCACCAAGCACCAGGCGGAGCTCCTGGGAAGCCCAGTCAGGGTGGGAAAGGGGAAGGTCCCCGGGACACGAGCTCTCCAGGTCTCTGGCTGTGTGTTTTCCTCCCCGTTGTGAGAAGATGCAAGTGAAGGTAGATCTCAGAGCTAGCTGTGCTTCGAGTGTAGCAAAGGCCGTTGAACTAGGTGGTTCCAGCGAGAGAGCTCTTCCCTCGCACTCTGGAGGCCAGAAGTCTGAAATGAAGGTGGGGAAGCGGGGCTCCCTCCCAGGGCGCTGGGGGAGGGTCCCTCCTGCCTCCTTCACCCCTGGAGGCTGCAGGCAGTCCTTGGCGCTCCTCGGCACTTTGCTGCATCCCCCCCAGCCCGGGCCTCCATTGTCACATGTCATCTCCCCGAGAGTCTGTGTTTCTGTCCTTATAGGGACACCAGTCATATTGGATTAAGGGCCACCCCATTCCAGTCCGACCTCATCTTCATTTAAATAATTACACTTGCCACAACCCAGTTCCAAACAAACCATTCTCGGGGGTTCCAGGAAGGATATGAGTTTGGGAAGGGCACTATCCATTCCAGCACTCTTGGGAAGTCACTTGGCAACATGGCTGGATTCACAGGGAAATGCACAGAGGTCGGCAGGGGGCCATCTTCCGCCTTTCCTGGCCGTCCTCCGGCTCAGGGCCGCGCCAGGGGCTGGCAAGCGACAGGTGCAGGTCAGGGTCATCTCCCTGTCCTGTGTCAGTGCAACTACCCGAGCCTGGGCTTCCTGTTGGAGCGGGTCCAGTTACTCCAGAAAAGGCCGCCCTGAAAGGCGGGGCTGCCTGTGAGGGGCCCGGTGCCCCCAGGCACTTCTGCTCCCAGCTATTAGCTCTGTTTGTTTCTGACTTATCTCTCTCCCTTCAGTGTCTGGGTCATCAGCTAACTCATTCCTGGGACACATTCCTTGTTGTAACAGCCGCTGGGCTGATGCAACAGCCCCAGCCCCCGGGAGCTCTGGGGTTAGAGCTACTGTGGCGGAAACCACCAGCAGTAGACTTCGGGCTAGACGTCCGTTCCTCCAGAACACCCAGGGGCGTCTCATGCCCCCATATACGCCGGGGGCAGGAGGTGCAAGCCCCAGGAGGGGCCTCCTAGGGCGCTCGGCCTCTGTCCTGACTCACCCTCTGTTCTCCCCTCCTTCTCCAGAGTGGGTGGGGGACTCATCTGCACAGTTCTACCCCCCACCCTTTGTCCTCAGTGTAAACCACGCCAAAGACCGGAGCCTCCAGGAAGGGTCTGGAACCCCCCCCTCCAGGAAGCAGGAGGAAATTCTATGCAGGGCACAGAGGGAGGCGCCCACACCCAGGGCAGCTGTAGAATGAGTAACAGCCGGTCAATAGGAGGCTCCCCCGGCGGGTGTGTGAGCCCAGGGCTAACCCAGGTGTACCAATTAACCGGACTGTGTGTCTTTTCCCCCCATCTGGCCCTCCGCTGGCTTGAATAACCCAGAGTGACAATCTTAGTGAGCTGAGAGGTAGCACAGAATATATAAGCCTGCGTAGGCCGTGTTGACTCTTGTGTTGGGTGAGTTAGCAGTGCCTGCCGGGGACACCCTCAGACCCTCACCCGTCTGTGAACTCCTCTTCACTCCTCAAGACCCAGTTCAGACTGCACTCCCAACGAGAAGCCTGCTGGGCGGCGTCCCATCAGCTCTTACCACATTGCATCACAATCCACATAATCAAGACTTACTCTCCCTCACTGGACTGTGGGCTCTGAGGTCAGGGGCTCTGCCTGGTGTCCTCAGGGTCCAACACTAGCAGGTGGAGCACCTCGCCCTCGATCCACACCCAGTCCCTGCTTGTGGCATATACTTGCCTATGGCCATGCACTCTGCAGGTGGGAGGTCGCAGCCCCAGCACTCAGGGCCAGACCGCCCGCTGCTTGGACTCGTCCGGAGGAACCTCACCTTCCCTGGGACACTGGCACACAAAGCCCAGGGCAGGAGGGATCCCAGGGCAGTCCAGGCATATGGCCAGGGAGACTGCAGCAGAGGAGAGATGTCAGAGGCCGAGGAAGGAGAGAGCCCCCAGCAGGAGCCGGGGGGTGCTCACCCTAGATTCAGGGGCGCCCAGGGCAGCCCCTTGTTAGGACGGGGCTGGTGACCAGTCCTGGGTCTGGTGTTCATTCATTCCTGGAAGATGAACGTCCCCCTCAAAAGGAGCGGGGAGGCTGGGGACGGCCACAGGCCCGTGAGCTCTGGAAGGCAGGGTGGACTCTTTGGACCCCATCCTCTGCCGCTGGCTGGAGGGTTCACTAGAGCAGAGAAGAGGAACACACAGGACGTCCCCCACACAAACAGGTACCCAAAGCTCCAGTCCCCACGGGCCAGCTCAAGCCTGCCGTCCTCGGAGAAGTCAGTGCTGTCCCTGGCCGGCAGCCCGAGCTCTGCTCTCGCTGTCCCCATGCCACGGATGCCCCATCAGACCCGGGAGCCTGGACCCTCGGTGGCCTCGGCTGCTGGGCCACACCCGGCGGGCGACGGACGTATGTCCCCAGGCGCCTGGCTCAGCTCTGCGTTACCTACTCGTGCAGGCCCCGTGAGTGAGGCACTCTGGGACAGGCAGGGAAACTGAGGAACAGGTGGTAAAGTGACTCAGGGCCAAATCTCTCAGCTTCCCATCAGAATCCCAACATGATTCTGTTTGTCCACGGGGGACTCTTCAAGGGCAGGGATTTGTCACCTCAGCACAAGCCCCAGGCTCCGTTGACATCAGCTGAGCTAAACCGAAGCAAAAGGCAGGGTGGTTTTCCTCTGTGGTGGTGGTTCTGGGTGCCGGCTTCACCAGCATTCATCTGAATGACCTGCCCAGGCTGGACGGGCAGGGGACAGCATCCGTATGGGTCCAGCTCCCCAGGGGATTCCAAGTGCGGTCAGACGGAAGCCAGGGCGCCCCAACAGCGTTCCAACAGCTGGCCCTTCCAAGCCCGATCCCGGGTGTTTGGGCTTTCCTGGAACCTGGCCCAGCTCCACAACCTGGCCGGGCCTGAGGATATCATGGGGAGTGCAAAGGCAGAGGTCTGTCCGGAAAAGGCTCCCAGGGATTTTCTCTACGATGATCTCTTCATAACAAAACTTGTGCCATCTTTCAGCTTGGGCACACACTCTCCTGGGAGCAAAGCAAAGCCCTGAAAACAACACAGACATTGCTCTGTCTTCAGCCTGCAGGGGTGAAGAAGGGGGTGAAGAGCAGACGGTGGGGGCTTGCTGCGTAGGAAGGGCTAGGCCTGGGCTGTTGCAAGGTGGGACCCAAGCCTCATCGCCAACGCGTGCAGAGCCAGGCCCCATCAGTCACTGGGTGGAGGACAGCCCTGGGGGCAAACTCCGGGGTAGTTCAGGTCCCCTTCCAACCCCGCACCCCCACCGGGGGCTGAGGTGACCTGCCAGGTGCACCTGCTTCCGGGTCCTACACAGCTTCCTGGATCCCGGCTCTGCCGGGCCCACGAGAGGAAGCCCTGACAGGCACCTTATGTCGGGAGCCCTTAGTTCATTCCTCTGGAAGATGGGTATAATTATTCCCAGTCTTGTTTTGATAAGCTGTTATAGAATAATTTCCAGGATATATCTTTCATTAAAAAAAAGAAGACAAGCTGAACAAAGACATCTAGTAAGTGCTCATTTGGGTTAAAAACGTGCTTAGGTCTAGAGAGAACATTTCTGGAAAAATACTTAAGAAAGTGTTAAATGCAGATACCTCTGGACAGGAGAGGACTTTTTTGGATTGTCTGCTTTTTCAAAACCTACTGCATGTATTCTATTTTTATCAGAATGCTACAATCTATCAAACTCAATTTTCTTAAAATATTGAATAAGTGTATCAAATACATTTATGAAAGTGTACTTAAGAATAACAAATAACTCTTGCTGTCAACAAGAGAAACAGAAAGAACAGGATTTTCAAGAATTACAAGGGAGGAACAAGATGCGCGCACAGCGGGCCTGAATCCCGGGCGGGACTCGTCTTTTCAAGTCCCCGAGGCTGGTCTTGGTCCCGGGCGCCGTGGTCACTGCCTTCTGGGCTGCTCGTGGCCGGGTTTCTGGCCGTTGCCCAGCCCCACGCTGAGCCTTCATCCTCTCCCCCAGGCCAGGCTAGCCTGGGACTCACAGCCCAGCTCCCCAGGGAGGAGTGGTAAACCGGGGACCGGAGTCTGGCCTCTCAGCTGGCTTGCTACCACGGCGGTGGGGTCAGACTGGCCTGTCCCCCTTCGGGAAGATGAGCCGCCGGGGGCTTCACAGTCCAGCGCAGGGAAAAGTAGGTGCGGCCAGAGGAGGGGAGGGCCGTCCCCAAGCAAACAGAAGCCAGAGTACCTGTACAAACAGCGGGGTATAAAGGCGTCCCCTTGGCCGACGTGGCAAGTTCGCCGAGCAGACGGGTCCCCAGAGCCCGCCCGCCCGCCCGTGACCATGGAGGCCAGAGCGCTCCGGCTGCTGGTGGTATTCCTGGTCCTGGGGTCCTCCAGCTGGGCAGCAGCGTACCAGGGCCTGTGTGAGTACTGCTCAGGCTTCCTCTTCACGCCTTAGGAAGGAGGGGGCCGGGGCCGGCGTGGGGTGGGCAGAGGAGGAGAAGGGATGCAAGATGCAGGCTCAGCGGGCCGTGTGGGGGCTTGAGGAAGGTGACCAGGCCCCCACGTTAACTAGCAATTGCCATTTACCGGATGCACACGGTTCCTCTCAATAGCCCTACCAACTGGGTCTTGCTGTTTCCATTTCACAGACAAGGAAACCGAGGCTCAGGAAGTTAGTAACTGACTGCATGCAACCCTCTCAGTCGGTGCTGGGACCAGGTTAGAACCCAGGTTAGAATCTGGCCTGGCTGGCAGCCTCTGCCAACCCTACCACCCCGCTGCCTTCTTGGCCGCAGATTTCTCATCTACCAGAGAGGTCTTGACACGCTGTGTTGGCGCATTTACCAAACAGAAAGACCAATGAATACGGTTTCTTCCAGAATGTTTTCAGTGCACACGGACAATTTCCACTTAGCCCTGGCCTTGCACCTGCAGGTGGGGGGTGTGGCTGTCCCATCCACCCAAGTTTGAAGAAATTAGGGTGTGGCTCTTATCAGGTGCCGAAGGGAGCGGCTCCCAGCCTGGGTGCCCGCCAGAGTCACCCGGACGGCTTTGCACATCCTGCAGCCCGGGATGCGCCCCCCGCCCCCCACGCCACAGTGTCTCTGGGATCCCAGCGCGAGCGAGGTTCGGGAAGCCCTGGAATGAGGAATTACCCAGTGGCAGGGATAGGGGAGGATTTCAGGGATTTCCTGTGGTTTCTGTTTTCCTAAGGAAAATCCTGTTAAGTGACCAGGCGAACATTGCAGAACTTGAGCAACATAGGCTTGCTTCAAAAACAAGTGTTGAGGACGGAAGGATGTGCCAGAAAGATGGGACACACCAAGGGTTTGGGGGACAGGGAGACACGGAAAAGGAAGGGAAAACAGCCTGCATTGTGATTTTCTGTTTTAAGTGTGTATCTCCTATTATACTATTCATTTCTTTAAGGGAGCAGTTTGTGTTGATAAAACAGTGAAGGGGAACCTTGTTTCTGGGTTTGGGGGCCCCCAGATGGCCAGGGGGAAGGAACCGCGGCCCACGGGCCCCTGACAGGACCCTGGGGGCACACAGTGCGAGGGGCACCCTGGCCAAGGCCCAGAGCTCCCACAGGGCAAGTAAAACCTTCTGCGGGAAGAGCGTCCTCCTCAAGCAGGTGTTGGGGTTCAGGGGGGTCATTTGCTTTGAACTCAGAAGCCGGGGGGAGGCTGCGCACTGGCAAACTGAAGTCAGCAGACCCACCCGCGCTGACCGGGTGTTGTTTGGGACAGCGACGAACCTGTGTGAGGTGCCGGCCAAGGACAGGGTGGACTGTGGCTACCCCCACATCACCCCCGAGCAGTGCACCAATCGGGGCTGCTGCTTCGACTCCAGCATCCACGGGGTGCCCTGGTGCTTCAAGCCTCTGCAGGACACAGGTGAGCGGCCCCGCGGGCACGGCATCCCTCCTGGGTCCCCGGAGGCCACGCACGCCGGGCAGGGCCCCCAGCGCCGCGGCTGTCCATCGGCGGAGGCGTCAGCCAGGGGCTGCCCCTGCTGTCCCTTTGCTGAGGGGTCTGTGCCGACTCTAAAAGCCGTTGTTTCGAAAAGGTGTTCAAAGTCGAGGTGCTACGTACAGGGAGCTAGTTTAAAAACTCTCCTGGAGCGAAGTGGAAAATGCACAGGTTTGGGAAGCTGGGCCAGTGTCTGAAGCCACATTCAGCAAACAAAGCCCTGTCTCGTTTGTGAGGTGCTCCTGGCGGGACAGACAGTGGCGGCCCCAGGCACGGAGCCCCGGTGCCTCCCCGCACCCCACCACCTTCCCCCAGCCTGCCTCCACCCGCGGTGCAGCGGGGCCGGGACTGCCATTCCGGGGGAAGCCCGGGGCAGCCACAAGCAGGGGTCCGCGCACGCGGGGGCGGGGGCAGGGTGGGGGGGGTGCAGCCCTGGCTCCGTCAGTCCCACCCCACATCTGGGGCGTGAGGTCTGCTAGAAGCCACCTGGCAGTCCAGGTGCCGGCTCATCTTCTAAGAAGGACACAGGCGCCTACGAAAGGCACCTTCCTGGAATCAGCACGTGCGCCCTTTGTCCCCCGGAATGAGGGAGTGGGGCCGCCTTCCGGCTGATGCCAGCATCCTGATGGATGATGGGGCCCCCGCCCACTGCCCCCGGCCTCCTCCCCGTTCCTGGCAAATCCAGGCAGAGGCCCAGATAAGGCTTCGGGACCAGGAGGGAGTTGTCCATTGCCTCTCTGCTGGCTGTCCCCAGTCTTTGGGGCCCCTCAGCGGGGGGCAGGGGTTATACCTTCTCCTTTGGGAGCTGACAGCGGCCCTGCCGAGGCCCATCCTTTCTATCACCTGCCTGAACCCCTAAGTTCTGGTGGGACATATGGCTATTCTCCACAAGGTCAGACACTCAACGCTTTCCTAGTGACCTGGGGAGAACGCAGGCCAAGGCACTGACCTTGGAGCCTGTCTTGACCTTGAGAAGCCAGGCACCCAGTGGGTGAGGTCGAGGCTGGTCATGGGGATGCATGCCTGTGCTTTGTTTCCAGAATGCAGATTTTGAAGCAACGTCCACTGGCCCTGGACACCCCGGGAAATGACCCTCCACACTCGGGGCACCCTGCCTGTGTCCTCTGCCGGCTGTGGCTCATCCCTGCTTTTCTCCTACCCTGCTCCCAGCAAGCCCCTTCACTGAAAGCTAAGGCCTGGGGCCTGATGTCTTAACGAATAAAGAAAGATCCCAAACTCAGCATGAGGGCTGTTCCTCTTTCCTGAGACTCCATGCTCTTGTGTTTTATTTCTGCCAAGTGGCTCTCCTTTCTCAGCCTCTCCCAGATGGGGGTGGTGGGAGGGGGTGCGAGCGCCTCCAGCCCAGGGCCTCCCAGTCCCCCCCCCCCCCCCCCCCGAGCTGAAAGATGACCCTCAGTAGCTGCACTGTTTGCATGAGGATGTGGCAGGTCTCAGACCAAGCCTGACACCGCAGGGAGGCCCAGTGGTTTTCCAAGTGGCCACCACCTCGTGCAAATTCAGAAAAGACATTTCAAATATAAGTTTCAAAAAAAAAAAAAAAGGTGGTTAATGTCTTCCTTCGTGAAGAGAGCAAACCAATAAAGCCATCTTACCAACTGGCACTTTTTTGTATTTATTTGCAAGTCAAGTGTAATAGCTGTGGCCCCTTGGTGGTCTTTTACCTTTTTCTTCTGAAAACGGAGGCAGCTTTCTGAGGAAATGAGCTAGTCTCACCATGAGGACTCTGTCTCGGGTTCTCATGAAGTCCTAACGACCCCTAGATGCAGAGCTCTTCCCTCCGTCCCTAACTTTCTGGGACACGTGCCTTCCCACCGATGTCACGCAGGGCCCCCGGGTGGGAAGCTCAGCGCGACCCTCTGCTCGGGCCGGGCGTCCTGCACGCTGTGTCTGCCGCCCACACCCTGTCATGGCCAGAGATTCGATTCCCCGCGTGCTCCTTCCTGCCGGACGGCCGTCAACAAATAGAGCAGCTCACAGAAATGGGGTCTCTTGGTCTGAGTCATCCTCCTACTGAAAAGAGACACCGGCTCCCATGAGAACAACAGGCTTTGTTTTGGGGTCTGCACTTGGGGCCAGGTGCCCCGAGCTGATGATGTCCCCGGAAGTGAGATATCATTACCCTTGCTTTACAGATAAGGAAAAAGACTTTAAAAGTCCCACGCAATGGGGTCTGCTATGAGGAGGCCAAGGCAGGATGCCCAGGCCTCCAAATCCAAAGCCCTATGTGTTCCTTCTAATGTCCAGCCACTACACCTGCCAGACCTAGGGAGCGAACCTTTCTGGAAACACCTCAGACCGCGCAGCAGGTGCAAAGCGCAGCCTCCTCCCCAGAGCACGTGCTACCCACAGCGGTGCTCCCCTGGACAGACCCCTCCCTCTGCCTGTGTGTCCCTTTCTCCTCACAGACCAAGCCCAGCCTTGGAGGCCGGGCCGGATCTTAGCTGGAGGGGTTCAGAGGTCACCCTGGTGACGGGGCCATGCTGTCACCATCCCCCTTGCTACCCAGCCGGCCTCCGGGGCCCGGCTCTGCAGCTTCCGGCTGCACAGCCTCGTCGATGGTGACAGCCCACCCGTCTCTGCCTGTGTCTGCCATGCCTGAGCCCTGATCTGGACACCCCTTCTTCCTGTGCTCCCCACCTGCCCCGGGACTGCCTGTTGTCTGCCCCTGTGCCCCGGAGGGACAGGGTCCACCCAGAACCTGAGGCTGGGGGCCCCCCTTCCTCCCCCTGCCCCTTCCTCAGTTACAACAAGGCTTCAGGCATGTTCCAGATTGGTCACCTTTGGCTCTCACTGTCCCGTGGGTGGTGGGTCAAGTTTGCTCCCGTCAGCAGAAAGCATTAGGTGGGCAGATGTGTCCCTCGAGGTCCCGATGGGAGGGCAAGACCCCGGCTGACACCGTGCCTTACTCCCCGCAAGCAAGTCCTCACACCTGGGCCCGGCCAGCAACCCCCTAGGCGCTGGTCCCCGAGCGCTCGCCACACCCTCCCCCCAGCGAGGGGACGCGCCCCTGTCTTTCCTCTCTGCCAGTCCTGGGGTTTCCGAGTCCAGATCTGCCCTCCGGGGCTCCCCCCTGACCTGCTCCAGGGGGGAGATGAGCAAACAGCGCCAAGCCTCTGCGGGGCTGCCTCACGCCCAGTGGCTCTCAGCGCGAGTTCCGTGGCCCTGCGCGCCCGGGGCCTGGGCTCATGGAAGATGCCCCGGGCTCATGGGCGGCCCAGGGGTGCTCGCTGTGGGGGGCCAAAGAGCTTCTGTGTCCTCTGCCTGTGGCTGCCAGGCCCTCAGAGGAGGCTCGCCACCTGGGGACCACATGGGCCCTCGGGGATATGCAGCTTCCCGGTGTGGCCACACACCTGCAGAGTGAGGAGAGGCCCAAGGCCTGGCCAAGCCACAGACACCACCATGGGGGGCAGTCCTGCCTCCTACCCCCACTCACAGGCTATGTCTGCCATCCCACTGTTGCGTGTTCCAGGCTTGAGAGTGTCTTCCTGGGTAACTTGGGGAGACCCCAGGTCAGACTCAGATGCAGAAGCAACCTTCACCCCCAGCACGGGGGCCTCCTTCCAGGGACCCCCCCTGCTCAGGAGAATCATCTGGGTGGGGGCTTAACCATCTCGTCCTGGGGCTCAAAGTTCTCTCCCTTTTTTCTGTTGCTCCCGCAGGGGGGCAAAGGGGATCCTCATGCAAGTCATGCTTTGGACCGTCTGCTCCATGCTCCCTGGGGGTCCTGGGCAGTGTGAATGCTAGCACACAACCCCCCTCCAAGCCAATAGCCTCATGACTACTTCAAAGAATGGATGTAGATGTTACAGTCATCTGGGGAGCTTCCAAAAACCTCAGAGGCCCAGCAAACCCCAGTCTGCAGGGTGAATCCCAGCACCTCCATCCGCGCAGGGCAGACACCCAACCATGAACGCACAGTGGGTTGTTGGGGAGGACTGGATCTCCAAGTCTAAGAGGCAGATGCTGACCCAGGGCTCAAGATCTCCACTCTTCTCCAGCCTGTCAAAAACCAAAGGAGCAAGCAAAACCTGTGGTTCATGCGTCCCCGTAAAGCCTCTGGGCCCAAAAGACCACAGACAACCTGGGGACCCTGCCAGGCCACTTTTAAAAAGTACTCCAGTAAAATACCATTTATCTTGATTGCTCAGATTCAGGCCCCCCCTCCCTTCAATTCCATGCCTCAGCCTAGCCCAGTCCCGAGCCCATGGGGGGCTGTGGTATGCTCGCAAACGAGTTCACAGAGCACCTGCAACCGGCCAGACCGCTGACCCTGATGGAGGGAGACACCCCCAGCCCCAGCCCCAGCCCCAGCCCGGGAGCCAGCCCGCTGACCTGGTCTGACCCCCAGGGACCACCAGCCCCCTCTGCTGGCTGGCATGTGTACCTCAGCTTCCTACCCTCCCCAGCCACTGCCTGGCTTCATTCCTCCGCCTTCTAGATAGGATTTATTAGGATACCCAATCTCTCAGCTGCTTCTGCCTCCTGCCAGCACCCAATCCTGAGCCAAGCCCCATTTCCGTGAATGTCCCCCAAGTCCTATATAAGTTGATCCTTTCTAATGCTGTCTTACCAAGGCGCCCCACCGTACATGGTGTCCCTTGTTGCCCCAAGTCCATCAACCCCCCCTTGACAGCATGTGTGCTCCCGTGGTCTTTGGCAGGAGGGTGTCGCCAAGACACAGGCTGAAGGCGTGGTGGGGCAATGGGGGCCCAGGGACACATGGTCTTGACCAGTGGGTTTCAGTGGTTCTGCACAGCCGTCGGGGATGTTTCGAAACTCGTGGCACGTTTTCTGAGCGTCATATGAATGGGGGGGGCGCTACTGGCATCGAGTGGACACAAAGCCAGACTGTCAGGGGTCTGCAGTGCGCCAGGGCATCCTGTGGACTTCCTGCTGGACGCCAAGGGCAGCCACAAACCTGTTTATAACGGTTTGAGTCTAGAGCCTACTTCTGTGTAAATCCTAACATGAAGTTATTATTTGGGTTTTTGCAAAGTCTAGAGATGCTGGGATTTCCCGGGAATGCAGGCTGATGTGAATAGAGGGAAGGCTTCACTGAGGTTGGAGCTTTGGCCAAGTGGATCATTTCGAACATGGCATCACTAGGGACAGGGCCCCACGTGGCTTGTGAGTTGTTGGCCCTGGGGCTCCCTGCCTTCCTAGGTGGTGCCCTCGCTGTGGGGGGGGGGGCCTGTGCAGGGCCATCATGTGGAGTGTGGGCACATGGAAACGCATGATGTTGCTCCATCCACCAACACTTTCCCTTTACTTGTCCTATTTTATAGGGCACTATGCATATTTATTTTACTTTGTGTGTAGGCATGTTATTAAGTATAAAATTATTAAGTATAACTTCCTTTCAAGAGATCAAAAGGGGTCTTGTGAAATCCTTGGTATAAAGAGGTGGGCTCTGCTGGCAGAACCTCGTCTCCCGGTCGGGCCCCCTGCCTCTTCTTGCCCAGTCCACCCCCAAGCAGGGCAGCCCCAGAGCCCCCTGCCTCCCTGGCCTCTATTGGTTCCCATCCTTTCAATCTTAAACCTGAATCACGCTTTTGAATTTAAAAAATCCCAAAGGCTGGCAGATGTGTTCTCTGGTTCCCCTAGGACCACCTCCCGAAAGCCCCCTCCCCCTCTTCCGCAGGTCAGATGACAGAGGGTCACTGGGCCCACGGAAGCAGGGATAACAAGACGTTGGCTCACACCTGCCCCATCACCCCCGCACTCTGCACCTTACTTCCCATTCAGGGGCTCTGCTCCCGCTTTCCAAAACAATCCATTTCTCCCCAATATCCCCACAGCTGTCGAGGCCCAGGGGATAAAACGTGGGGTCATGCACACCCAGCCCACTCTGCCGAGCCTGACCCCTCCCAAGGAACCCTGCTGGGGGACCCCGAGGCGGGCACCTGGGAAGGTTGGGTCTGTAGCTGGGTCTGCACCCCTCCAGGGCTGCAAGGGCTGGGGTGGAGCTGGAAAAAGCCCTAGAGCACCGTGGCCCCTCCTTTGTTCACTGCCTGATCCCTCCTTCCCGTCCTCACTCTGTCCTCATGCCACTGACCTACCGAAGGGCCCAGTTTCAACGCTTGGAAATCCTGGTGCCGATCTGACCTGCGTGTCGAAGACCCTAGGACCCCCGCAGGGGTGAGTCACACCCCTTCACTGCCGACCTCCAGTCTCCATCAATTGAGGGAGAACTTCATCTTTGCCAATATTTCAAAG